CAGGGCGTTTCAACCTATGCAACATTCTGGCGAATCTCCTCTCCAGTGCAACCATGTCCTTTGATATTGTTGCGACCAGAACTGCACACAGTATTCCAGCCATTGCCTAAGCAATATTTTTAAAATTTATAACAAGACTACCTTGCTACTATATTCTATGTCCTGGCTAATGAAGACAAGCATCTACTGACAACTTCAGGGATCTATCGACTGGTACACCAAGATCCCTTTGTTTCTCAGTACTTTCTAGGGACCTACTATTCATTGTGTACATCCTTCCCTTATTAGATCTCCAAAAATACATCACCTCACACTTATTGGGATTAAATTTATCTGCTATATCCCTGAACAAATTACCAGCTGATCAATATCAGACTGTAGCCTGAGATCAGCCTCCTCACTTTCAACAATTTTTGTGACACCTGCAAACTTTCTAATCGTATCTTCTACATTCACATCCAAGTCATTAATGTACATAACAAACAGCAAGGGTCCCAGCACCAATCCCTGTAGTTCACTGCTGGTTACAGTCTTCTAATTACAAAAAGAACCATCACCCTTTAGCTCCTATTTGCAAGCCAATTTTGGATCATGTATGCCAACTTGCCTTGGATCACATGGGCTCTCAACTTGTGGATCACATGGGCTCTCAACTTTTGGAACCTTGTCAAAGGCCTTACTGAAGTCCATCTAAACCACATCAACTGCACTACCTTTATCAATATGTTTAGGCACCTTTTGAAGAAAATTCAATCAAATTGGTCAGGCAGGATCTTACTAACAGATCGTGCTGACTGTCCTGATTAATCCGTGCCTTTCCAAATATTGATTAATCTTGTCGCTCAGAATTTTTTCCCATAATTTCCCTACGGCTAACGTCAGTCTAACTGGTCTGTAGTCACTTGGCCTATCTCTGCTGCCCTTCTTAAACAAAGGAACCATGTTAGCTATTCTCCAGTTGTCTGGCACTTCACTTCTGGTCAGTGAAGCATTAAGTTTCTCTGCCAGGCCCCCAGCAATCTCCTCCCCGGCCTCCCATAGCAGCCCGGAATATGTCTCATCAGGCCCCGGGGATTTATGCACCTTTATGCCTGCTGAAACATATAATACCTCCTTCTCATTAATCTTAACATGTTCTAGAAAGTCATCATCCCAACTGAAATCTCTGGCTACAATGCCTTTCTCTTCAATGAATGCAGATGAGAAATATTCATTTAAGACCTCACCCACATCCTCAGCCTCCACGCACAGTTTGCCCTCTAATAGGCCCGATTCTTTGCGTGGTAATACTTATTCTTAATATACTTTTAAAATATCTTGGGGTTTTCCTTAATCCTTTCTGCCAAAGATATTTCATGGCCCCTCTTTGCCCTCCTAATTTCTTATTTACATTCCTACATCCCCCTACATTCTCTACATGTTTGAAGGGCCTCCTCCATTTGTACCTGGCTGTACCTGGCTATTCTCCTCACTATTCCCTGTGATGTCAGAAGCTTAACAACACGCTATACTTCCAAATTGCATTTTGACCACTCTCCTTGCAAACTATATACACTTGATAACAGATTTGTGCCAATGTTTGTGGGGCCCCTTTCAATCCAGCTCCTTTTTATAGCCCACCTAATTTAACAGGATGACCACGACTGGCTCATCATCATTTTGCCCCTGACCCAACATTCAGTCACTTGCACCTCCACCCAAGGTCCCAAACTGGCTCAAGGGCAGCTTAAAATCAGTCTTATTGTTGAATTGAGCAGGTTTCTGGGATCTGGTTTCTGGGATCGACTATCCCCCAACCTGATGAAATTCACTGACAGCTGGAATGGCAACAGGAAGATGGCATACCAACAAGCAGTGCAATTCTTAATGTGTTCATGCCCACCTACAATGGGACCTAAACTTCTTGCCTCTAATTTCTCTAGACAACTTTCTGATGAATCCTCCCTCCACCCATAACACAGTCACTAACATTTACTACATATAAAGTAAATGAGCTTATGGTTGACAAGTACACCATTCTTGAAATGGAGATTTTTTTCCATTGGAGACTAAATTGTGTGACAACATTAATGGAATAAATTAAATCCTTATACTTGAATGACTTTGCCATCAAATCTATATGAAGGCATTACTTAATAGTGCTTACTTCTAAATTTTGTTTTGATCACCAGCAGTCTGCTGACAGTTGCCTTCTGCCAGGGCTCTCCTCATGGCTCAGGCATCAGCTTCACAGTCATATTTTCTAATTAACCTGTTCAGAGACGTTATGGCACACCTCTGGAGTAGGTGGGACTTGAACCCAGGTCTCCTGGTTCAAAGGTACGGACACTACCACTGTGCCACAACAGCCCTTTATAGCCCTTTATTCATGATTCTCACTAACCACGGACAACTGCCTGTATTGGACAAATGGCACTGACCAGTTATCAGGAATTGAATTACAAGCATGATGTCTACTTTGGACAGTTCAGAGTTTAATCAGCTGTTCCCACCCCAAAGTATGACTATCTAAGTGATACCAGTATGCCATCGTTGTCCTTTCATGACTTCTGCAACATGCATCAAGCTTCCAGTTAACTACTGATCAATAAGCATAAAACCTCTTCACATTAACAGAATCTTGGGAAGTCAGAGGTCAAGCTGTTAATGAGCTCCCTAATGATTTCAACATGTCCAGTCAAAAAAAGGAGCAACTCTACTTTCCTGCCAGTGTCGCTGTCCTTGGGAAAGTCAGAGTCAGGAAAGGGAGAAGCGGACTAGAACACAAGGCCATCGGTCCCATTTCATATTTTCTGTTGCGCCTGACTTCTCTTCCAATTCAGGATCGGAAAATCCAGCCATAGGAGATGGGTCAGGCTGCAAGTTTTCAAACTAGTCGTCAATTATATCCACATAATGTATTCTTCCTGCTCCAAGACTCAATTAAATACATTTTAATAATATTTTATGATTAGTATCATATTAGTTATTTATAAAAAAAACAGAATAATTTCATGTAATTTCTTCACAGTCTTCTACTACTGCAGCTGTTAAATTTATGTTTACAATAAATTAATCTTTAAAAATTGTTTGTAGCCACCAATCTGCTATCTTGAATCAAGGTAGTTAAATACAAAATAGCTGAATAGAAAATGCTCTTTTTAACAAAAGACTATATTTCGTTAGCCCAGTTACTTTATTCCAATTATGTAGCGTTGTTTCTAATGGGAGTAATGTGCCAGTAATCAAGACCCACCATGCCACGAGATGCACCAAAATGCCAATTTCTTTCTCTCTATCGTTATCCAGAACACGAGCGACTTTCAACAGGTTTTCTTGCTAAACTCAAAAATGACTGGTTTCTTAAACACAAACCTGTTCTTACAACAAGTGGAAAAAACAGATATCATTATTCAGAATTAAACAATATCTTCTTTATCCCAAATGCAAACAATCATATGATGGGCAAAACAATACAAGTCTTTAGAGTTGATAAGGGCTTTAATAGAGAAAAAAAAGGAAATGGAAAAAACACCTCAGCGAGTTAAGGATCTGAATGCAAACGATAAAAATGTCTCACGGTCCAGTTGATTCCTTGTTGCGATGATGCAATTCTGACAGTTGTTGAATTGCTGGGAGATCTCTAGATCAGACTTTAGTTTGGATTAGAAATAGGTTAGACTTAGGTCTTTGAACAGAAGTAACATTTCAGCTTTCAGAGTTTAAGAACAAAGTGAAGACACTGACTTTAGGAACTTTCTCCGGTTCCCAGAAAATATTTTATGGAAAGAGATCTGTGCAAATTGTCTGGCTGTAAGGTCTTAGTTTTCAGGTGACAGAGATCTTATTTTTTGCTGCTGGCTTCTTGTAAGTTTGCTCCTTTAATTGACACACCAAGTGTACTAGAACAGCAACTTTAATTCAGAGGCTGTCGCAAGACCAGGGCTTCCCAAATCAATCTGTTCACAATTAAAACCAAAATACCCATCTTTTAACTCTCTTAAAAGATTTGCTTGTCTGCTTTCCAATGTTACTTGACTTTCAACAAAAAAGCTGCTGACTAACAGCACTCATTAAACTTTTGACTTCAGTAATTACTGCTGATCACAACTCCCAGTAATCATATGTACCCGCAAAACCTTTTAATCCAAAATGGCAAAATAGTTCCATATTAAAGCTCCTCACAATGCTCGCCTGTAAAAAAAAAATTATAACCTTCAGTTCCACCTATTAAGAGTTTGCTTGAAACATTTTTGGACTGTCTTTTATGCGCAATCACCATTTTGTTATAGCAGGGCTGTATATTCTTAGAACATTTCCTGCAATTGAGTATTTTGATGATATTGAGTTTGAGACGTGGGGAAGAATGTACACAATGTGGAAGGATATTTTGTTGTAAATATCAAGCTTCTACAGAAACTTAAATGAATTGAATTCTATTGTGATTACAATATTTTACTTCTGTGAAAATTAATTAAAATGTTGGTCTAATAGATTTGTTCAAACAGCTTATTCTTATAAAACTAATGTCTGCTCTGGAGCAAAATCACATTGTAATGTTTAATAACTTCATGTTTACAGATCAGATTTGTAATTCAAAATCTAATGTGCGCAGTATTTTCCAATTACATATTAAACTTGGGAAACTAACTTGATCTGGAGTTTTTAGTGTAATATGTAACAGTTAGTTCTGTCGAATGTTTGATGCAGATCTTAAACCATCATTTTTCATGATTTCCATGAATTCCATGATGGATATGATTTAGCTAGATATTTGAAGATCAGGCATATAAATAGAAATAAAAGAAATGCTTACAAAACATACTTTTCTTTTTCAGTAGAAAACTTCGAAATTAATTACACTGTTTTCTAATACCAACATACATAATACGCATTCAAACACACATACACATGTATAACATACTAAACAAAAACTAGTTATTTAACATAAATTACAAAGAGGTGATAAACAGATAAAGGACAGATGTAGATGCAAGTGAGTCAGCATTTTCAAAGCCCACCTGCTGGTATTATGCCGAGAGGAAGTGGTGCTCTGACAGGCGTGAAGTTGGAATCGATGTCCCTCCCAGCATCAATCTGGGCTCGGAGGAGTAAACCATGGGCCAATTCACTTGCAGTCCCATCACCACCCACACACACAAGACTGTAGGCAGCAAACAGATTACAAGAAATAATGGTATAAGAAATATTGTGCATTATTTGAATAAGTAATACTACATTTTCTGGGAGCGGGGGGACGGTGGAAACATGGCCTATTTAATAATATTTAAATTAGACATTACACTTCTCTTTCTAATACTTGCAGAAATTTCTTTAATGATGTAATTGTAACATTAATTTCTTATAAACATTTAGCTAGAGTTCTCACTACACTTGAATATGCAATATTCCAAGTATTTACTTGAAAAATGTTCATTTTTTTCTGTTTATACTGTAAGATCTCAAGTTTTAAATTTTCATCAAAACATGTTCAGCAGATTTGCTAATGTTACTCTATGACCAGAACCTTTAAGGAGCATTTTAAAGGGGAAAAATGGAGTTGAGAGGCAGAGAGGTGTAGAGAGGAAATTCCAAGCTTAGACCAATCAAAGACATCCGATCAGTGGTGGGGTAATTAAAATCAGAGGAGCTCAAGAGTCCAGAATTAGATGAGCTCAGATATCTTGAAGGCTGTGACACTGGAGAAGATTAGAAATAGGAAGGGCCAAGACCATGGAGGGAGTTGAAAATGAGAACCAAAATATTAAAATCAAGACATTGCTTAACTGTGAGTGAGGACAGGCATGATTGATGAACAGGACTTGATGAACTGAAAATAGGCAGCTTCAAGTTTACCTGTAGCAAAATGTGCAAGACAAGCCAAGAGTGTGTCAAGTCTAAAAGTAACAAATAAATGAATGACAATTTCAATAGCAGAAAAGCCAATATAGGGGCAACATTAGGTGATACTACAGAGGTGGAAATAAATATCTCATTTTAGGCATAGAAATGTGGTTAGAAGTTCTCCTTGGATGAAAAATGAGACAGATATAATATATACATTAGTCACAAACCACTGTCAGGGAAGAGGCAAATGGTTGGAGATTGGAGTTCAAAGCAAGGACAGAAAATATAACTTTTATTCTCCTCAATATATAACTGGAGAAAATTTCTGGTCATCTAACACTGGATATTGGATGAGCAATTTGATAATTTTGCAACAGTGAAGGAGTTGAGGGAGCTGGTGGTGAGGTACCGCTGCGTATTGTCAGCATACAGCTGAAAAACTAAAACGATGTTTCAGAAGGTGTCGCCATGGATGGCATGTAGATGAAAGAGAGAGAGTGAAAGATAGATCCTTGGGGGGACAGCAGAGATAGCAGTGCATTGAGTGGGAAGAGACGTAATTGCAGCCGACGTTCTGGCAACAATTAGATAGACAAGAATGGATCTAAATGAGAGCCGCCACAACCACCTGGATGATGACGGAGGAGGATGCTGTGTCAACCATGCCAATGCTATTAACTATTTCATTTTTCACTTAGTAACTTTCAGTACTAATAATAAACTAACTTTGATCTTGTTTAAATTAAAGCATTGCGCTGGTTATTTTTAAATTGGAACATGTAACAAAACAACAAGGGAGCTAAATGTGCTACACAAATTCAAAGTTCATGGACTATCCTGTGACATACCTGGTAAGGTTTTAACAGATATTAAAGGGATAATTGTTAGCTAAAACACTAGGAAAGTGCCCCTAAATGTTTTTTAGTGTTGTGGTATTTTAATACACCCAAGAATATATGCAAGACCTCACGTTAGTGTCCAATTAGAAAGGCAAGACTTCATGTATTGCAGGGCTGCTTCAATCTTGTACCGTGGTATCAGTCTTTTTAGAATCTTACCCAGATTCTTCTGAAGCTGGGAAAGAGGAAAATAATCGGTAGGGTTTTGGAATGAATTTGTAGAGAACCAGACTGTATTGGAAAAAGACACTCTTGGGGAAAAAAGGATATAGATGGAAAGAGAGCCAAAAGTAAGGAGTAGGGGAGCGATGTAAAGGAAGAAACAAAGACTCCAATTTTTGTTCCTGGGTCAGGTATCCATGCTCCATTCATACATTGCCTTAGTATCCATCTCCGTGTCCCTTAGACCCCCATGCCAAGTTAATGCCTACTTACATCGACTACCTTTTCTCCTTTCACCTACCATGCCAACTCATTCGCTATCCATAGGTAGTCATGTTCATAGGAGAAGTCATTTAGCTCTATTACTTAAATTTCAATATTGCAATGTACATTGTATTGAGAAAAGCTGTCTCATTGATAAATGCACATACTAACACTTGGCAGATTGATGCTTATTGACAGGTCGACATTTATTGACGCTTCTTGACAGGTCAACATGTAATTACATTTTGAGACTTCAACAAATAACACTTGACAAGATCATATTTGAAGACACTTATTGACAATTGACATGCCAACATTTGTTGACTCTTATTGACAGGTCAATTTTTTTTTATTCGTTCACGGGATGAGGGTGTCACTGGCTAGGCAGCATTTATTGTCCATCCCCAATTGCCCAGACGGCAGTTAAGAGTCAACCACATCGCAGTGGGTCTGGAGTCACATGCAGGCCAGACCAGGTAAGAATTTTCTGAAGAAGGGTCTAGGCCCGAAACGTCAGCTTTCCTGCTCCTCTGATGCTGCTTGGCCTGCTGTGTTCATCCAGCTCTACACCTTGTTATATCAAGGATGGCAGTTTCCTTCCCTAAAGGACATTAGTGAACCAGATGGATTTTTCCCAACAATTGACAATGGACTCATTGTCATCATTAGATTCTTAATTCCAGACACGTATTGAATTCAAATTCCACGATCTGCTGTGGCGGGATTCAAACCCATGTCCCCAGAACGTTATCTGGGTCTCTGGATTAACAGTCCAGCGATAATACCACTCGGCCATTGCCTCCCGACACTGCTAGACAGGTTGACATTTGTTATCATTTCTTGACAGGTTAATACTTAGTTACATTTCTGGACAGGTCAACACCAGTTGACATTCTTGATAGGATGACATTTCTGACACATTGTTACTTGTCATTTGAACACTTGAAGACACTTCTTGACAAGTCAACGCTTGTTGATACTTGTTGACAGGATGACATTTTTGACAACTACTTTAGTTCTGTTTTCCCAGAAGAAGGATCAAATAACTTCACAAAAGTGCTAGGGAGGCAAGGATGCTTTGAGAAGGAGGAATTGTCGGGATGGGGGGGTGGCGCGGTGGTGGTTGTGGGAAGAAAAGAGTATTGGTAGGAAAATAATGCTGTAGAAATTAATGGGACTGGAAGTTGAATAGTTCCCAGGACCTCAATCTACATGCCTGAGTACTATAGGAATTGGTATTGAAATAGTTCAAGCATTGGTTTTCATTTTCCAAAATTCTATAGATTCTGAAACAGACTTGGCAGATTGGGTGGAGGGTAAGCCCATTGTTGAAAAGAACAGGAGAGAGAAAACAGAGAATTACAGGCTAGGGAGCCTAAAATCTGAATTAGGAAAAATGTTGGAGTCTATAATAAAGGATGTGATAACAGGATTACATAAAGTTAACAAAAACAAAGTTGCTGGAAAAGCTCAGCAGGTCTGGCAGCATCTGTGAAGGAGAAAACAGAGTTAACGTTTCAGGACCGGTGATCCTTCCTCAGAAAATTAACATGGATTTATGAAAGGGAAATTGTATTTGACAAATATACTGGAGTTTTCTGAGGTTGTAACTGGTAGAAAAAATGAGGGAGAACCAGTGAATGTTGTGTTTTTGGATTTTCAGAAAGGTTTTGATAAAGTCCCACTCAAGAGGTTATAGTTAATAAAAAAATTAAGCACATGGGATTAGTGGTAATACATTGGCATGGACTGAGAATTGATTGCAAGACAAGAAGGAGTAAGTAGAAGTAAAGGATTCCTTTTTGGGTGGAAGTTGGTGAAAAGTGGGATACCACAGGGATCAGTGCTTGGTCTCCAGATATTCACAGCATACTACAATGATTTGAATAAGGGAGTCAAGCGTAATATTTCGAAGTTGACTGGTGGGTAAGTCAGTGGTGAGAAGAACAGAGAAAGGGTCAGGGTGATTTAGGTAAGTTGAGCAAGTAGACAAATGCATGACAGATGCAGTACAATGTGGTTAAAAGTGAAGTTGTCCAATTCAGTAGGAAAAAAGAACAGAAGAATATTGTTTAAATGGTGAAAGATCGAGAAATGTTGATGTACAAAGGGGCCTCTGTTTTCTTATGCACTCATCACGCAAAGCAAACATGGAAGTGTGTTAAGTAGCTAGGAAGAAAAATGATATGTTGACCTTCGTTGTAAGAAGGTTTGAGTACAGGATCAAGAAAGTCTTACTGCAGCTGTACAGGGCTTTGGTAAGACCACACCTGGGGTAACGTGTGAAATTTGTGATAATAATGTGATCTCTTGACAGGCAGATAGGATACATTAGGAATAAAGCAAAGGTGAGCTTTGAATGAAATAGAGATATTGGAGGGCAAGAACAGGAGAGGATGGATTTTTGAAGTTAAAGACATTAATAACACTTTTGAAAGAGATGGAGATGGCACTGAGTACAATGCACATCTGAAGGAATGGCAAGCTTGAGGCATCAGAAAATACAACCGAGTGATTAAGCAAAGAGTTTTTGAGGAAGATAAATTTGATGGAAATACAGGGACTGCCCCTGCTGTTTCATGGGGTGAATAATGTAACCTGTTGCCAGTTGAGGAACATTCACTCACAGGTCCAGTTTCTGGTCGGAGCAAGATATCTCTCCATTCATAAACAAAGACGTCATTGATAGGGCATTCTGTTTGTTAGAGAGATTTTATGGAGCTCACAAGAGTGGGAAACATGGCCTGTGGGGTGACTTAATTAGGCGTGATTTAATATTTCAATTTCAAAATAAAATGATGAGATTCAGTGGTTAAGCCAGCAACGTGTTTTTAGCATATTGGGCATCACACCGGCTTGTAGCAAGTTCCTGCCTGTGAAACATTAGCATAGCATGAATTCTCATTATTTCAAAACAGCAAGAGCCTCATAGCACCCAGTTCACAGTTGTTTAAAGGGGACATGCAACACTTGACATTGAACAGTTGTTTCCAAGAGAGCAGATTTCCATTTTGAATTCTATGGCACAAGGTGTTATGCAAGGAAAGGTTGACTTTTGTGGACAGGAAGATGTCAAGAGGTAAGGAACAGAGGACAGAAGTAGGCTTTCAGCTGCAAGGAGTTGCCAAGGTGGGGAGGATGAAACATCCTGGTTGTGGTTGCCCTGTGGAGGGTGGGGGTCTAGGTATGGAAGACAGTGACAGGGGAGCAAAATATTGGGGCCTTATGGTTCAAATGGAGGATACTAAGTGGTGTAGGGTAAAGTCACAGTAATGGGGAGGGTTGGATTCAGTAGGTGGAATAGATCCATTGTCAACATCAGGATATGTCTTATAGTGTGAGACACCAAAATGAACAAAAATAATAGGAGCAGGAAGGCTGACGTTTTGGGCCTAGACCCTTCATCAGAAATCGGGGAGGGAAAGGGAGTTCTGAAATAAATAGGGAGAGAGGGGGAGGCGGATAGAAGATGGATAGAGGAGAAGATAGGTGGAGAGGAAACAGACAGGTCAAAGAGGCAGGGATGGAGCCAGTAAAGGTGAGCGTAGGTGGGGAGGTAGAGAGGAGATAGGTCAGTCCAGGGAGGACGGACAGGTCAAGGCGGCGGGATGAGGTTAGTAGGTAGGAGATGGGGGTGCGGCTTGAGGTGGGAGGAGGGGATAGGTGGGAGGAAGAACAGGTTAGGGAGGCGGGGACGAGCTGAGTTGGTTTTGGGATGCGGTAGGGGGAGGGGAGATTTTGAAGCATCATCTCCCAAACCATCCACAACCTCATCACCTCAGGTGACCTCCCACCCACGGCCTCCAACTCATCGTTCCCCAACCCCGTGCCGCCCATTTCTATCTCCTTCCCAAAATCCACAAACCTGACTGCCCTGGTCGACCTATTGCCTCCGCCTGCTCCTGCCCCACCGAACTTATCTCCACCTATCTCGACTCCATTTTCTCCCCCTTGGTCCAGGAACTCCCTACCTACGTCTGTGACACCACCCACGCCTTCCACCTCCTCCAGAACTTCCAATTCCCCGATCCCCAACACCTCATCTTTACCATGGACGTCCAGTCCCTATACACCTGCATTCCCCATACAGATGGCCTAAAGGCCCTCCGCTTCTTCCTGTCCCGCACGCCCGACCAGTCCCCCTCCACTGACACCCTCATCCGCTTAGCCAAACTCGTCCTCACCCTCAACAACTTCTCTTTCAATTCCTCCCACTTCCTACACACAAAGGGGGTGGCCATGGATACCCGCATGGGCCCAAGCTATGCCTGCCTCTTTGTAGGTTACGTGAAACAATCCCTCTTCCGTACCTACACTGGCCCTAAACCTCAACTCTTCCTCCGTTACATTGATGACTGTATCGGTGCCGCCTCGTGCTCCCATGAGGAGCTCGAACAGCTCATCCACTTCACCAACACCTTCCAGCCCAACCTTAAGTTCACCTGGACCATCTCTAACACCTCTCTCACCTTCCTGGACCTCTCTGTCTCCATCTCCGGCAACCACCTAGAAACCGATATCCATTTCAAGCCCACCGACTCCCACAGCTACCTAGAATACACCTCCTCCCACCCACCTTCCTGCAAAAATGCCATCCCCTATTCCCAATTCCTTCGCGTCCGCTGCATCTGCTCCCAGGATGAGGCATTCCACTCCCATACATCTCAGATGTCCTCGTTTTTCAAGGACCGCAACTTCCCCCCCTCAGTGAACGCCCTCCACCGTGTCTCCCGCATTTCCTGCAACTCATCCCTCACACCCCGTCCCCGCAATAACCAAAAAAGAATCCCTCTCGTCCTCACGTGCCACACCACCAACCTCCGAATCCAACGCATCATCCTCCGACACTTCCGCCATCTGCAATCCGACCCCACCACCAAAGACATTTTTCCCTCCCCACCCTTATCTGCTTTCCGGAGGAACCACTCTCTCCGTGACTCCCTTGTCCGCTCCACACTCCCCTCCAGCCCCACCACACCTGGCACTTTTCCCTGCAACCGCAGGAACTGCTACACCTGCCCCTACACCTCCCCCCTCACCCCCATCCCAGGCCCCAAGAAGACTTTCCACATCAAGCAGATGTTCACCTGCACATCTGCCAATGTGGTATACTGTATCCGCTGTACCCGTTGTGGCCTCCTCTACATCGGGGAAACCAAGCGGAGGCTTGGGGACCACTTTGCAGAACACCTACGCTCGGTTCGCAACAAACAACTGCACCTCCCAGTCGCGAACCATTTCAACTTCCCCTCCCATTCCTCAGACGACATGTCCATCCTGGGCCTCCTGCAGTGCCACAACAATGGCACTCGAAGGTTGCAGGAACAGCAACTCATATTCCACTTGGGAACCCTGCAGCCCAATGGTATCAATGTGGATTTCACAAGCTTCAAAATCTCCCCTCCCCCTACCGCATCCCAAAACCAGCCCAGCTCGTCCCTGCCTCCCTAACCTTTTCTTCCTCCCACCTATCCCCTCCTCCCACCTCAAGCCGCACCCCCATTTCCTACCTACTAACCTCATCCCGCCCCCTTGACCTGTCCGTCCTCCCTGGACTGACCTATCTCCTCCCTACCTCCCCACCTGCACTCACCTTTACTGGCTCCATCCCCGCCGCTTTGACCTATCTGTTTCCTCTCCACCTATCTTCTCCTCTATCCATCTTCTATCCGCCTCCCCCTCTCTCCCTATTTATTTCAGAAACCCTTTCCCCTCCCCCATTTCTGATGAAGGGTCTAGGCCCGAAACATCAGTCTTCCTGCTCCTATGATGCTGCTTGGCCTGCTGTGTTCATCCAGCTCTACACCTTGTTATCTCAGATCTTCCAGCATCTGCAGTTCCTACTATCTCTGAACAAAAATAATAACAGGTTTTAGGATCAGAGTCAGAATTTAATGGGGACAAATATAGAGACAGTTGGGAGTAATGGCATGTTGAGAGCTACGTTGATAGAGTCCAGGGTAATAGGTAGGGAGTGGTTGGGAGGGAAGGTGAACCATTTTTTTGGGTGGGTCATGGGCAATAGGCACAAATGTGTGAGTGATAGAAGGGTGGATACTGGAACAGATCTAAAATGCTGCACAAACCACCTTGCAGGGCTCAGGAAAAACCTGCTTGCAATGAACAGAATGTTGGCCTATTAGAGACTCCCTGAACTTTACTACAATGGATGAGACCATGGACATATTCTCATTTCTATGTCTGCTCTCTTAACACAGTGCAAAGAAACTTGCAATATTTGTAATTCTACTGTTATCAATAAACCAGAAATCATATCAAAAGGACAATCTATCATTACAATTTCTTCAAAATATCATTCATTCTCAGATAAATGCATCACTCACTACTCTGAAACCCATTAGCATTTAAAACTCAGCCAAGCATTCAAAAACAGCTGTAGCTATCCAAACAATAAGACTGCTTTCTGGAAAGAGAAAAATATCAGGCGTTCATTTTTAGAGCAAAGTGCCTATAAATTAATATAAGGAAGTAGGTGCAGCATTTGAATACGTGAAATAATTTACTTACTTTTTAGCATGCCCCAGACTTCAATACAACTTGCAGTTTTCTTCACAAACTTTCAATCCTACTGTGTCACAACATCAAATGAAAATGATGCGCAGGAGGAAACTTGTTTTCGCTCCTGTATAAAATAGCAAATCCAACTTCGGCAGAGGCGAATGTGTATTTCGTAGTTTACACACTCTCAATCCATAAAAAGACATAGGAAAATGACATGGGGCTAGGAGTGCAGAGAAAATTCAGAGTTTCTCTGAAAATAAACTGTTCCTGGGGTCATTTGTACAGCAAAGCACATTTCTATACCCAGATAAAAATTCAGCACCTTCAGATGCTCTAAATCAAATTAACTTTAATTGCCTTGCGAGGAGAAAGAATCTTAGGTTATATGAGGCAGCAACTGCAGGTTAAAATCATCAAAATCATACACTAATAATGTTTTCAATCATCTTACTGAAGAATATTTCTTGAAACATGAAAAGCTATTCAGTAGTCAAAAGGTCTGATACAAATATCTCAGTTTTGAACAAATCATCTAGTTGAAGGAATTACAAGCGTAAGGTTTGAAATAGGCAAAACTCAAAATTACTGTTCTTTACTTCACTAACAAAGGATGACAATGTTTAACTCTCAACCACATACAGTCACATCACTCTAATACATTGTAAACATCAGCAGAAAATATCAAAGGAGAGCTAAACTTGACTCTAATGTAAACAGTGGGAAGATAAACAATTGTATAAAACCACAATACAGTAGTCCTTTGCAGGACAGTACTTCTTCACTGCTAACAGAACAAGTAATTAAATTCCCACCTGCTGTGACTATACACAAAGAGCTCTTTGTCTGATTTTAAAAAATCAATTGCAAATGGTTGATTATTGTCATTTTGTATTGCATTATTGATAGAGTATTGAAAATCCATTTGGAGACGTTACTTTCATCACAGATTGTCAGAATTCAACAAATATTTTCACAGCTTTAGTCTGGAGTTTACATACCCATCAAATTCTTGAATATCACATTCCTTGAGAACTGAAAAAGCATGTCCTTCATGCTCTGTAACTACAAAAGACAGACAGTCAGGAATAAAAAATTAAGTAATCTGCAGATTTGACAATTCTTAAAAAAATTTGGTACCTTTGAACTTGTGCTTGCCATCTGCATGAACATATGGTAAGGCTATAAAAGGCAAATTATACTAGAATGTGTATTTTATAATTAAGAAAAAGCAATGCAAACACATAATTAGATGCCAAGGCAGTTAATAATGAATTTTACAAAATACGTTATAGTATCTTCTAATTATCTATCCTTAAAATATGGCACAGTTACAATTTGATTTTGTGCAATTTTACTTATAAGTTAACCTATACATTAGAGAAATAAGGAACAGAAATATTATTCAATTCAAAAACATGAAGTGCAGGAAAACACCAGTGACAACATCAAATCATAGTAGGGAGAAGGTGGCAAAGCTACACACCAGAGCCTGAATTCTCCAGAGAATCAAAATCTGTCATTCCACATTGCCATCTCTACTGTGTTTATGCCCTGTGTGGCATTCTAAATGCCAATGAAAATGGGATGAGCTGGCATGCTGCAGATGGCACTAAGCATCATAACTGCATTTAGCATTTTCTAGGGCAGCTTTGCCAGAAGAGACGACCCAGCTGGATCTACTCATCAAAGATTTCTGCCGACTGACATGACACTTGCAGATGGATTTTTTGTGTAAGAATGTGCATCATTATTTGCAAGATTACATTAATCTTTCATGCTTGTCTATTTTCCGGTACCAGTGTAATTCTGATTATAACTTCAACATTATATTATTTAAGAAATACATAAAAGTTGTCCAAAGAACCACTGAAGAATTAAAGATACTGTGTGTAAAGCCTGATTTCCTTCATATTAAGTGCACTCACATAAATATACTTGATATAAATACAATAGACTATCAATACACAAGTAGATCACATCTCCTTGAAATTCCGATATATTGGATTAGTAATAAGAAATATTTGTCTTTTAGAATGAACAAGACAAAAGTGATTAACTGTCTTAGTTTGACAAACTCCATCTTGCAATTAATTGCCAGGAAGTCCATCTGCATCACAAAATAATGGCAAATACTCCAGTCATTCAGTGTAACTGTAGGGGGAGTTGTGAACAGTTAAACAAATTAGATTATTGGATCAATGATTTTGACTGCACATGTGGCCCAGTTCTTAAAGCTCAGTAGAATATACTCACATAACTGTGGTTATACAAGAACAGTGTAATTATTCATATCGTAAAATAGCAATTTCATAATCCTTTGACGTTACTACCTGATACTAAACCAAAAACACAAAGAATATGCAAAATATATATTTTAAATTAAGAAACATGTCGTGTAATGCATTCATTTAATCATATTTTTAGAATCTTTGTTACCAGAATGATAGAAAAATCCAGTTCATAGACCTCATGTTATGACATTAAAACATAAGATATCATGTAGTATTCAAAGGATGAATATATTGCTTCAAAACTTGGACCATATCAAAAAGGCAAAATAACTATTTTTTAGCATCATACTTTGCAGATTATTGAGGCACTTTTCACCTGACTACCATTTATTTTTATTGTGACCAGACACGTCAGCAGAAATGGTTTTTTAAAAAGTACATTGTCATCCAGGCGTATTCAACTCAATTTTCTCGCAGGTGTTAACATCAAGGCTCCTCATCAAAACTTATTACCTGATCTAACCATGGCATTTGGTTTCCACTGCCTTTGCAGGGAAAGTATTCCAAAGCACCTCAAACTTCAGAGAGAAAACTAATTCTCGTAAATGGGTGTCCCATTCTTTTTAGACGTCACTCCTTAGTGCTAGATTCACTCATGAGGTAATACTGGGTGGAATTTTGCACTGCCTTGAGTGGTATGGGCAATGATGAGAAAGTCAGGAAAAAATGGCAAGAATGAAAAGACTCAGATTCCAAACATTCAGAAAAAGATTTCTAATTTACCACTTACAGTTTAAATGGTGAGTTTTGGGTCTCATTAATGAGTGATGACTGCCTTATTTATCTTCATTTGCACCTTATTATTTGTTAATCTCATCTCTAAGCAGCTCCCAATTCTCCTCTCCTTCTTGAAGAAGCTGGGAGGGACTAATTCCTAACATGAAAATCAGAGCTGGTACCAGTTAGCAGTAGCAAACTGATTGTTTCTTTGCACCTTCATCCACTCCACCCTCACCATTTCCCTGCATGCTCATTGAATACCATCCTTTTCCACCTTTTGTTCACTCAAGAGGGCGTCACCAAACTACCAGCCTCACTGTATCATCATGGCTGCTTTTGGAGCAAATCTCAACACTTCAACCCTTCAGGATTTTATTTTGGAGTTAGAGGACATTTATTCCTTGCACGATTCTGCCTTGTCGCTTTGGCTGCAGAGAGAGACACCATTCTCATCCAAAATACGGGATGCAATTTATGGCACTTCGTACCAGTAATAGGAATGTGGGTCCATTTATGGTGATTGAGAGCACATGATCATTGATGTTCATTGGACTTTGTTTTAAGTGCTGTGAGGGTTTGTTCTGGACACAGAAAGGGTCTGAGGGAAAACTGGCATTTGTACTGAACTATAAAAGATAAAGTTGCCAAAGTCTTATCAGACCATAGGGCTGCTTTCTCATCAGAGAGAGATGACTGGTGGTGATTCAACCTGAGGGTCACCATGCCTCAAACAAGGGAGAGATTCAGAAGGAGATTCCTTTATGATAAACTATACATTTAGAATAAAACTAATGTGAATCTGAAGGTCTTTGGCTGCCTAATGCAACATATGGATTTCAGTCTATTAAATACAGTAACAAGCACGAACCTTGATCTCTTCAGATGGGAAGATAAAAATAATGGAAGTAATTCCTGTTTCTGATAGAAACAAAGCTCCTGGTGGCTTTTCAAGATGCAATAGCTAAGTCACACTGTAGGTTCAAGAATTATGTTTATCCACAGATGTTTGTGAATTAGAGTCATTTAAGCAGCAGGAGAAGTGGCGATGTGCGTTCTAGTCACTTCTAACCAAGAAGCAGCAAAGTAGGGTTTTTCTTTATCCTTACCAAATACAAGTAAAATTAGCAAAAAAGTATTTTTGGGACTAGATATAACAGACATGAAAACTAAACAGGGACTGGAAATTCCAATACAATTTATGGACAAAGTTTACAAAATGGATGACTTGTTGGAAATCTATGAGGCAGAGTCAATATCTGATAAACTGAAGATGAGATACAACCAGTCCATGAAAGAAAACACCACGAAGTTTGAGAGATTATTTAAAACACAAAAGAAATTCAATTTGGAAATTCCAGAAACTGCTAGCATTTAAACTATTAGATTATGCATAAATCTCACACGTGGATGGACTTAGGGTTTTGACATATGTTCAATTTTGTGGTAATAACTCTTTGAATGAATGGCTGCTGCTCTGAAAACATTTTTAGGAAGATAGTTGTTTCCTGCCACTTTACAGGAGAATGTTCGGAGTTCTTTGCAATACAGAGAATGGAAGACTCTATGTTGTCAAAATTGAAGAAGGCCTAGCCAGAGGTGCCTGCGTAAGGATAGAATTGCTGAGAGGTTTTTTTGTGTTTTTTGGGGGCAAGGTGGGGAAGAAGAGCTTGAAACTTTAACAGATTTCTGAATCAAGGGAATATGCAGGATTAAGGTGATAGCCGGTGATGAATGAGTCCCAGATCTCCATGGGGAATCATTAATAGGTGTTTTTAATGTGATTCTAACCATCACATATCAGGAATTGTCCAAGGATAAGTAGTCAAATGTTACAAGCAACTCATACATCAGATGGTTCTGAAGGGTGAATAGCAACAAAAGACTGTATTAATGGCAAAGATTTAAGTTGGTCCATGAGTATCTTAGTTGCTGATTTATTCAATTGTGCTCTACTAGACATTATCTGAAACTCTACAGCATGTGGCTTTAATTGGCTGAACTGCTATTTGGAAACCCTGGGAAAGCAAACAAAACTAGGGTCATACAATATGAAAGCTCAACCTGCTTTCAGTTTTGGGGATACAATCGGTTGTTGAGTAAGGTTAAATCTCACAGGATATAGGGATTGCTAGCCAATTGGATACAAAATTGGCTCGAAGATAGAAGACATAGGGCGGTAGTAAAGGGTTGTTTTTCAAACTGGAGGCCTGTGGTGTGCCACAGGGAGTGGTACTAGGTCCACTCTTATTCGTTATTTATGTAAATGATTTGAACGAGAATTTAGGAGGTATGGTTAGTAAGTTTGCAGATAACACCAAGATCGGTGGTATAGTGGGCAGTGAAGAAGATTACCTGGGAATGCAGCGAGTTCTTGATCAACTGGGACAGTGGGCTGAGGACTGGTCGATGGAGTTTAATTTACATAAATGCAAGGTGTTGCATTTTGATAGGTCAAGCCAGGGCAGGACTTACACAGTCAATGTTCGGGCCCTGAAACAAAGAGATCTAGGAGTACAGGTTCATAGCTCCTTGAAGGTGGTGTCACAGATAGACAGGGTGGTGAAGGCATCTTTTGGTATGCTTGCTTTCATCAGTAAGAGCACTGAATATAGGAGTTGGGATGCCTTGTCGCAACTGTACAGGACATTGGTAAGGCCACATTTGGAATACTGTGTGCAACTCTGGTCACCCTATCATAGAGGGGATATTATTAAACTACAAAGAGTGTAGAAAAGATTTACTAGGATGCTACCTGGACTGGAAGGTTTGAGTTATAAGGAAAGGCTGGGACTTTCTCCCTGCAGTGTGGGAGACTGAGGGGTGACCTTACAGAGGTCTATAAAATCATGAGAGACATAAGTAAGGTAGGTAGCCAACTATTTTTCCCCATGGCAGGGAAGTCTAAAACTGGAGGGCATAGGTTTAAAGTGAGAGGGGCAAGATACAATGGGTCCAGAGGGTCAATTTTTTTTTCACACAGAGGGTGGTGAGTGTCTGGAACGGTAGTGATGTAGTGGTGGAGGTGAGTACAATTTTGTCATTTAAGAAATG